ACTGAACAGGTCATGAGTTGTCTAATCTTACTTGAATTTATTTTCAGCTTGTTCTCCCTTACCCAGACCATTATTAAATCTAAGCAACATTCAAGGATAGTGATTGTTTTCTCAGAATTAGATTTAAGAAACAATAGAGCTGCATTAGTATATTGATGGCATTCTGTATCAAAGCCCTAAATGACCTGCGTTATTGGATTCATGTAGATGTTAAAAAGCAAAGAAGACAAGACAGAAACCTGTGATGTCAGAGACATCCTCCACCACCATCTCCTGAAAGGATGTCCTCCCCCAAAGCCCTGTGCCCACAAGACAAGCCAGGATGCTGTGGTTAATGGTGTTGAAAGCTATCAAGAGATTCATGAGATATAGCAAAATATCACCCATCTAATTTTCATTATACATCTCCCACAAAGGGATTAGAACAGTTGGTATCATATTTAGACAAAATTCGGCCTCACCCTGATCCTAGTCCTTATTAACATTTATTACAATATAGTTCCACACCATGTTGGGACAAAAAGGGTAATTAAATATCAGCTTTATTGTGTTGCCTCCTAACATTTTATCCAGTCCTACATCTGTAGCATACTGTTTTCTGTGATACTAAAGTCTGTATACTAAATGTAATTTCTTGTTGCCACTTTGATAGAGATGTTGGAAACTATATCATTTCAGTCCTCTAATTGGGCTTAATCATAATCACGATCTAGTTTCTAGTTTGACAAACTTGCGTCGTCACGTCATCATGTGACGTATCATGACTTTTTTCCCCCTTCGCTAAACCAGGGGTGGGCAAGACTGGCATGTGACGCATCCGCTCCCGGGGCTGCGAGTTTGACACCCCTGTTCTAGATATTCACAGATGTTTTTTTATTACCTTTTCCAGTATCTTCCCAAGTATTGATATGAGGCTCATTGGTATGTAATTTCCTGGGACTCTTCCCCCCCACACACACACACTTTTTGAAGGTGGGAGCCACATCAACTCTTTTCCAATCCTGTTAGTTATCTAGTGCGCCAAAATTTTTGAAACATGTGGTACAATGGTTCTGAAATAATATCTGCCAGCTCCTTCAGAACTCTGGCATGTAATCCATCAAGTCCTGGTGATTTATATTCATCAAGATCAGACAGGTGTTTTCTTTCCATTTTCTTGCTTATTTTAATTTTTATTTCTAGTCCGTCATTTACGTAATTGTTTTTGGTAGGCTGGGCCAATAGTCACCAACCGGTGGTCCATGGACCAC